GTGTGTGTTACATAAAAGAATCACTGTATGAATGTGTGTGAATGAGCAGACAGGCGTTGTGTAAGTACTCGATTATTAGGTGAGACAGTCTTCGGTGTCCTGGAGGCGGAGCACTGACACTCGTTCATGAAGCTGCTGCTGTGCAGTTTCTCCAGCGTGCAGCACAGTTACATCCTGCTACATAAACCACACACTTATTGTGTGTGTGTGTGTGTGTGTGTGTGTGTGTGTTTGCAGGACACTGGAGCAAGCAGCTTCGGTGCCAGTGGTTTATGCCACGGCGTATTACTCCCTGGTAGTGCGTGGCAGATTACGCCCTGGAGAGACCGTGCTCATCCACTCGGGGTCAGGAGGCGTGGGCCAGGCTGCCATCACCATAGCGCTCAGTAAGAAGTGCAGAGTGTTCACTACAGTCGGTGAGTATGTAACACTCACACAGACTCACAGTAATAACATCAAACTCTTATTATAGATTCTTTTAAAGCCTCTTTAATGAGTTGTAATTCTATCTCATGTCTTTTGGGGGCGGGGCCTCTTGTCTAGGCTCAATGGAGAAGAGGGCGTACCTGCAGAAGAGATTCCCTCAGCTGTCAGCAGAGGCTTTCGCCAACTCCAGAGATGCTTCCTTTGAGCGGCACATCCTGCTCCACACACAAGGCAAAGGTAGCTGCTCGGTGCGTCAGGGGACGATTGACATCAGATGTCTTGGATTAGCAGTCAGCAATCATCCCTGTGCTCTGCAGGGATGGAAGACGATATTCCCTGAGTATTGATATGCATTAGCATAAATGGCACTTACAGGTTACTCCAGCCTTTGAACACAGTCGTATTCCAAGAGCAGAGGAGCTGCTGTGAGTGGCTGCTGAAAGCTGGGCCTGCAAAGCTGCTCGCGGCCCGGCTTGAGTAGGCAGGCGAGATATGTGAAGGCCAGAGGCAGTGCCCCCACCCGTCGGCTCCATCCAGGCTCTGCACCGCCTGATGGATCATACTCAAAGGCTCAGAGACTGTTTGAACAGAGAGCCGGTCCAGACTTCCTGTGCTGAGGTCCTGGATCCAGAGACGGACACTAAGTCCAGAATCTCTCGTCTTTCTTTCAGTAGTCATTTTCCCCGTCCGGTCACGGTGCTGCTGCTCAGGTGCTGCTGCTCAGGTGCTGCTGCTCAGGAGCTCTCACTGTAAACTCATTATTAGTGAAATGTGCATCGTGCACCTGTGCCAGTGTGTTTCCTCCCAGTGCTGCATTCATGACTGTGTGTGCTTCTGTGTGAGCACTGGTGCTGCTCGTCGCTGTCAGCTCATGTTTGATGTTTGCTCTGTGGGACACGGCACGTGCACTGCAGACACTTCATGTTGAGGAACCCAAGAATGTCCTGGAACAAGACTTATGCTCACAAAGCTGTAGCAGGTTTAACACGTGACAGTTGTGTGAACTGAGTTAGTTATTCTTCCATGAACACTGACTGACTGACTGTGGCGTCGTGTCTGCTGTGTGTGTTTCAGGCGTGGATGTGGTGCTGAATTCTCTGGCCGAGGAGAAGCTGCAGGCCAGTGTTCGCTGCCTCGCTCGACACGGACGATTCCTGGAGATCGGCAAATATGACCTTTCCAACAACACTCCTCTGGGTCAGTATCTGGTGTTTATTGACAACAGGATAGATAAACATGTTTTATTAGCTTTTTAAAGGTTCCTGCAGGTGTTAACCAGAGTTTTGTTGTCATAAATGATTCTTGAAGCCTTGACAAACGCTGTCGTGATTCCTTCAGGCATGGCGTTATTCCTGAAGAATGTGGCTTTCCATGGTATCCTGCTGGATGCTCTCTTTGAAGAGGGCAACCAAGAGTGGGAGGAGGTGTCCCAGTGTCTGCAGCAGGGCATTGTGGGAGGAGTAGTTCAGCCTCTGAGAACCACAGTGTTCGCTAAGGACCAAGTGGAGCAAGCGTTCAGATACATGGCTCAGGGCAAGCACATCGGCAAGGTGCTGGTTCAGGTGAGTGACGTGTTTGTACTGGACCCGCCCATCCCTACATGCATGTGGCTGCACTGCTGCTGATCTTCTGACCAGCTTTTCTTTCCTCACAGGTCCGTTGTGAGGAGCAGGGAGCAGCTGTGCAGCCTGCTTCCCCTCTGTCTCTGCCAGCTATCTGTCGCACCTTCTGCCACTCGTCCCACTCCTACATTATAACTGGGGGGCTCGGGGGGTTTGGCTTGGAGCTTGCTCAGTGGCTGATGGAGAGGGGAGCCCGCAAACTGGTGCTGACTTCTAGATCAGGCGTGAGAAACGGTAGGGCGCGACGACACGGTGCTCCCACTGATGTGCACAGCCTGCATCCGTGCTGATGTGACTCATCTACAGCTTCACTGTTGAACTGTCTTCAGGGTACCAGGCGAAGCGGGTGCAGGAGTGGCAGAATCAGGGTGTGGAGGTGTTTGTGTCCACCAGTGATGTCGGCACACTGAGAGGAACAGAGCAGCTGATTGCTGAGGCCTGTGCCATGGGTCCAGTGGGCGGTGTCTTTCAGCTAGCCATGGTCAGATTCCCTTTAGTCATTTATATGTGTCACCTTGGAAAAATCATGTTTTCACAGGTTTCATGGTCCTTCCTAAATTTGGACTACGTATATGTGGTTCGTGCACTTTGGAGGGCTCAGCTCAGTGACAGCTACAGCAGCCATACTTTTGCTCTTCAGTGTCACTAACTAACCGTGGGGGGGTAACTGCCCCTCCCAGAAACAAGCCGTGGATGTGTTAGAGGCAGCAGTGACTTTTTACAGCGAGCAGGGGAGAGTGCTACCTTTCATGTTTGTGCCAGTGCTGATACCTAACAGTAGCTTTCTTTCTCTACTTTTATTTTGAAACAATACATTCAGAATTGTATTTTCTAAAGTAACTTCTCAGTCAAGACGGTTTGTTTACATTTACCACGTCGTCCACCTTCCAGCAGCCGCCACCTCACTCGCTGTCTGACAGTCTAATGCTGACGTTGCTGTCAGTGTTTTGGATCCTGCATTATTACTGCGTAATTACTGCATTATTACGGCATTATTACGGCATTATTACTGCGTAATTACTGCATCATTACGGCATTATTACTGCGTAATTACTGCATCATTACTGCATCATTACGGCGTCATTACTGCGTTATTACTGCATAATTACTGCATTATTACTACATACTAGAATGATGGTCAGATCCCTTTGTTGGACTTCAATAGCTGCAGTGTCACATGACATGCAATGAAAACAAAAGCAAGAACGATGCTAACGATGTCGACTCAAGTATCTATCAGATGCTAACATGCTAACAGCTAAACGACTGCCAGTTAACGTTTAAAGTGACCGTTTGTTGATGTTTGTCTGCATTCAGGTGTTGAAAGACGGTATGTTGGAGAATTTAACTCCTCAGCTTTATCTCGACGTTAACAAACCTAAGAATGACGGCACCATCAACCTGGACAGGTAAGTGAGGAGAGTGGCTCCTCCCTCTGTGTGTCACTGGTACCATCATGAGCTGATCTCTGGATGCTTCCATTTCCTCTCTAGAGTAACAAGGAAGCTGTGTCCAGAGCTCAGACACTTTGTGGCCTTCTCTTCAGTCAGCTGTGGCCGTGGCAACGCTGGCCAAAGTAATTATGGCTACGCCAACTCTGCGATGGAGCGCGTGTGTGAGAAGCGCCGCTATGATGGCCTGCCTGGACTTGCAGTCCAGTGGGGTGCCATTGGTGATGTTGGGGTGGTTCTAGAGACCATGGGTGGGAATGACGTTGTGATCGGCGGCACCCTCCCGCAACGCATGGCCTCCTGTCTGGAAGTGCTGGACTTCTTCCTGTGCCAGCAGCACCCAGTGGTGTCCAGCTTTGTGCTGGCGGAGAGGACGGTTGTAAAGAGTGAAGCAGGAAACCGCAAAGACTTGGTGGATGCTGTAGCTCACATTCTAGGTAAGAGTCAGGTTATACCAAACTAGCGTCCATAAAGGTGTTATATAAGAAAGATCGCCGTCCTGAGTCGCTTTGGTGACCTGTGAGGTTACTTTGTGTCACAGACTCACTTCTTCTCACTCACAGGTGTGCGGGATGTCAGCAGTCTCAATGCTGACACCTCATTGGCTGATTTGGGTCTGGACTCTTTGATGGGCGTTGAGGTTCGCCAGACTCTGGAGCGCGACTATGACATCGTCATGGCGATGAGGGATATCCGCCAGCTCACCATTAACAAGTTGCGAGAGCTGGCCAATAGCAAGCCAGAAGGACAAAGCGGTATGAAGAGCTGCTCTTTAATGTTTGAAAAGGTTTCAGGTTGTAAAAACGCACTGATGTGTTTATGAGCTGTTAAGACTCTTAGTATGAAATGTGTTTGTGTGTACGAACATCACTGAGCACATCTCCACACACCACAGCTAAGAAGGACGGCGTTCGCTCTGTGCTGGAGTCTGATCTGACCAAGCTGATGGTCAGCCCCAGCAGCCCTACTGTGATGTCACTCAACAAGGTGAAGAGCCAGGACGGGCCGCTGTTCCTGGTACATCCCATCGAGGGCTCCATCGCCGCCTTTAAGACGCTTGCTTCTAAGCTCAGCGTGCCTTGCTACGGCTTGCAGTGCACCAAAGGTTTGTTACACTTTACAGACAATAAAAGTACAGAGTTTTCAAAGGAAATGTGCAGTCGTTTATGAAACGCGTGCAGACTCAGCTGGATGCAGTCAGGAACAGTTTGTAGACTTCAGTCAGTATTTGGTGTGTCCGGCTTCCTCAGCACGGCCTCGACTCGGGAAGCTTTTTGTGATTGAAGTCAATCAAATCTAGAATCCTTCAGGACGTCAGCAGGATCCCACACTGCTGGGACCAGGTCCGGGTTCTGGTCCAGGTCCGGGTCCAGGTCCAGGTTCTGGGCTGATAGTGTTGCAGTGTGTCTGTGGATGGAAACAGACTCCATTACTGAAGTCACTTATGGAATCAATTCCTTTATTGATTCTATTATTGATTCTGATCGGCTCCACTGTGAGAGGCAGAGAACAGTCAAACACATGTTGGAGGTGTGATCAGTGTTTGGTCATTACTCTGTTACATAGAACACTTCTAAAAAGTAATGCAGTATCTTAATTACTCCCAAGAAGTAATTAGTTACTTGTCTATTAGTTACTTGTTACAGTGCTTTCTCTGTGAAGCGCGCTGTCTCATAATTACATTATAAACCTGCAGTCACACACACACACACACACTGTGTGTTTGTGCTGTTACCGTAGAAACATGAGACAGCTCGACTGATCACGCCTCTGTGACCTGCTGAAGCTCAGCTTCCTCAGCGCTCTGAGCTCCAGCTCGGAGCTAGCAGGCTGTCTGTCCAGGCGCAGTTCGCACTTTAGCTCTCTCGTCCTTTTGTGCAATAAACATAAAGCAATCTTCATATCCAGCTCCAGACTGCGCCACTACAATTCATGCTGATTGTAGCACAAGTGGAACCAATAAGCAGGATTCATAGTCAAGCAGACAACCAGTTCCAAGGAGCTGAACTACTGGGAAGAACCAGTGCGATGCATTTTGTGGGACGCGTCGTGGTAGCTCCTGCTGGGGTTTAGGACAGACCTGAATGATGAGAAGGATCTGGGTGTTGCGGGGCCGTCCTGGCTGCATGAAGCTCTGGGATGCTGCCTCTGGACCGGCACACTGGGCTGGTGGTTCCCCTGTTTAAAGACCTGAGCGTGTGCTCCAACGTCACACTCCTCAGCCTCTGTGCCGGGGTGTGTCAGTCAGTCAGGCCTCTGATTCAGGAGGAAGTTTGTGTCCTGGTCATGATCACTGGAGCAGCTCGTTATCCTCTCGCCTGCAGGGTCTGTGGGAGTTTGCACAACCAGTCTACATGTGGTTCGTGAGGCTTCCTACTTTTGTAGGATCTTCATCTTACAGTACAAAGAGCCTCGCTGCAGCTGTTGTTGTGTTTTGGCGCCTCGTGGATAACTTTTCACGTCGTTTGAGTTTCAGGCTCGTTGCTGAGCTGTTAATCTGACCGCCTGTGTGGGTTTGTCAGCATGATGGGGCTCGTATTAAAATGACTTTACAGCCACAGAGAAAAACTTACAAAATCAACACTTTGAACCATCGTGGAAACGACGTGTCATCAAATGTGTGCGTCCTCACCAGGTGTCACAATCATGTGTGTAACTGTTAAACAGCAAAATGTGTTAAAGCTGAAAGTCTGTTCAGAGGTGAAACTGCAAACACGTGTACATGTACAGCTCCCTCCATCGTGGCCCTGATGTGATCTCATGTTTTCTGTGTTTCACAGTTTAAACGTTTGTGGTTCTCAGACCTTTGTCACTCATCAGCTGTTTGTGTCACTGTGCAGCCACACTAACTCCCCTCATGTTTCCTCTGCAGCTGCTCCTCTCCACAGCATTCAGGCCCTGGCTGCCTACTACGTGAGCTGCGTCAGGCAGGTGCAGCCGGACGGCCCGTACAGAGTCGCTGGATATTCTTTCGGTGCCTGTGTAGCGTTTGAAATGTGCTCGCAGCTGCAGACCCAGAACCAGCCTGTGGACTTCCTGTTTCTCTTTGACGGCTCACATTCATATGTGGCGGCATACACACAGGTCAGAGAAACACTCGCACGTCTTTATTTCATCTAATCAAAACATATTAGGGATGATTGGCTGAGCCGCAGATGCAGATGCCCGTCACGCTCGGGGCTTTGACCTGAACGTGTTGCGCTGTGATGGACGACGTCACCGGTCCAGGGAACAGCAGGTTACGATCGTCACAATATGATTTAAGCTTTCAGTGTTTGCACCTGTCACTCTAACACTGATGAAGGCTGTTTATTATTCTAACCAATCTGCTGTAAAGCGTGAGTGATGTTGGTTTGAAGGATGAGCTCTGGTCACATGATCAGGTATGAACAGGTTTGTTTTTGATTTGCAGAGCTACAGAGCCAAGCTAACCCCCGGCAACGAGTCTGAGGCTGAGACTGAAGCCTTGTGTGCCTTCATCCAGCAGTTCACTGGCGTTGAATACAACAAGGTAAACTGTCTCTGACCCACACGTTCACACAAGTATCCCTTTATCAGCATCAGGGTTAAGGCCACACAACCCGAGCTGTTGCCTCACGGCGGCTGTAACTGTAAGCTAAAGATGGTGGAGCTGCTGTTCCAGCACAGTCTGTGTGGTGCAGGTTTGACTCAACAATGTGATGTTTGGAGCTGTTATGGAGACATCTGGTTAAATCAAAGCTTCGTACAGTTTCTCACTGAAAGTAACTCCTTATTATTATATAATAAGGTCTGTGATGTTCATTAATTATGTGTCACTTTTCTGAAAACAATAATCTCTCTGCGAGCACGCAGTAACGTTTGCTATGAACTTACAGTCGTCTCCATGGTTACGTCCTACAGCTTTTGGAGACTCTGCTCCCGCTGTCAGACCTGACTGCACGCGTCAGTGTGGCGGTGGACCTAATCGCCGCCGCTCACAAGGACATCGACCGAGACTCACTGACCTTTGCAGCCTCCGCCTTCTACTACAAGCTGAAGGCTGCTGATGCTTATGTGCCTTCTGCAAAATACCACGGCAACGTGAAGCTGCTGCGCGCCGAAACCAGCAGCGAATATGAGCAGAACCTGGGAGCTGACTACAAGCTCAGCGAGGTAACGATGCACATTTACATCAGTCTGTAGTGTGCGTGCGTGCGTGCGTGCGTGCGTGCGTGCTTCTATAAACTCAGTCTGAGGCTTCCACTGTTCAGTGTGCTGCGTCTTTCTTCAGGTCTGTGATGGCGAGGTGTCGGTCCATGTCATCGAGGGAGATCACCGCACTTTCCTAGAAGGCGCGGGGGTGGAGTCTATCAAGAACATCATTCATAACTCGCTGGCTGAGCGAGCTGTCAAACCAAGGGAGGGTTAAACATCCACCGTCTCTTCCCCCTCACCCTCAGCTTTCCCCAAACTAGACTGTAAATGTGTCGTTATAGGAAGTCTTTGCACTGCTGATGTTTACATGCTGTTAGCCTAATATCCCAAATGTTAACGGTTAGTGAACCAGTCGACATCCCATCATCTCACAGCTCCATCGATTCCAAGTTTTGTTTTTTGTTGCCATGTTGTTGTTTGCAGAAGTTCATCCCACAACAAAATAACGTTAAAAATTTAATGTAACAAAGTAACGAACACTGACACGTTGAATCCTGAGTTAACATCACTTACATTGGTGTTTCTGCTCACGCAGACACCAGTAGACAGGCAGACGCGCTGCGAGCAGCCTGATGAGCAACTGTGGAGGGCTGACCCTGCAGCCGTGTTTCTGCACACTAACTGCTCGTAACACAAGTTTCTTTATTCTGTGACATTTGTTTACTTTTCAGTCATGTGACCACACAGTCATCAGTTACTGTGGCAACCAGCAAATGTTTACGTTGTCAATACGTTAACAAATTAAGTGTTTCATAAACTGTATTTTAACAATGACACTTGTTACTGTGATTTACAGACCAGTTATTTCACTAATTCAGAAGAAGCTTCTCTTCATGATGGACTGTCGAGCACACGCTGCTCTGATACAGTCTGTGACGGAGGCGTCGCTATGACCAGATGTGTCTCTTCAGAGGTTAATCAGAGATGTGAATGATCGCTGTAACAGTGAGATCATATTTACTGATGTAACCTCTGAGAAACTGTTTCCTTTTAAAGGCTTTGGTCCAGAGATCTACAACCTCAGCAAATAATCCAAACCTGAGTACAACAGCAGGCCTGAGGCCTGTGATTGGGTCGGTGAAGGCAGCTGCTGATTGGAGATGAATGTGCTGAGGAGTCACGACGGACGTGACGATAAAGGCCTCTGTTTTATTGTAATATTTCTGTTCTGTATCGTAGGACTAATAAAGGCCTCAAACGTCGCTCAGTGTCCCGTTGGATCGATGATTCCTGTGCTTTTGTTGTCGTTACGATTTCTGATCGTTTATCTTGTAAATATAGTTTTTGGGTTTTGTTTTTTAGAGGATGGGTCAGTTCATCAGCGACTGAAACACAAATCCTGTTGGCCCAGAAAATTCTTAGTCGCTGTTGACGTGGCGCCACCCGACCGTTTAGTTCAGACCATTAAAGTAACTGGACTGGTTCTATATGACACTTTTCTACATGCAACAAAGGTGGTGATGGAAGAACAACAGCAAACTTTTTTAATAGCACAATGAAGACCAGACAGCAAAGCAGGGAGGGAGAAATAAAGGGCCTCAGGTCAGAGTTGAACCCGGCCGCAGCCTTTACCCCATGACCAGGTGACGTGGTCACCCGCCCGACCCTCACGCACAGCAGCATTTCACTTCGCCAGGAGTATGTGGGTCGAGCATGCAGACTGAACTGTAGCTGCACGTTAGAAAGCCGAGTTTATTCCACCACGAGTTTGTGAGTGAAGGCTCCTTTAAAGGATTTAGAACAAATGTCTGGAGGAGGAGGGGCTGCAGAGGTGTATAAACACAGGTGGGCGGGGCTAGTGTGCAGGATGACTCAGTGACCTGCACTGACCCCTGTGTTGGTACATTTTGTTAAAGTTAAATGTTTTCAAGCTGACGAGTAAATTCGCCAGCGAGCTAAGCTGAGCGGACCGACGTGCAGTAAGGTTTTCATGCTCTAACAGCTGATCGCTGAGAATATATCAACAGTAATAATGTCGTGTAGTTCCCACGGCTCTGTATGTGTCACACCTGCGTATGCTCCCCCATCACATTCATCAGCTGTTCCTCTGGTGTCTGATTGGAGCACGCAGGTGTGAAATCACACACTGATGCTGTTTTATTCAGCCTGGATCGTAGAAGTTTTAATCAACAAAGGTGTCAAACATGAACTGACTCTTTGTCCCGTCAACAGATCTTAAAAGGCTGCGGTAACGTGTCGCTGATAAAATCAAAGTCATTTTCAAATTATTCACTTTAGTGCAAGTCAGCTTTATTGTTTTACAGTCGCCATCAGCTCTACAATATTACAGAGAACATTCCCCAAATCAAAAATCCTGCGTGCGCTGCAGCTGTGGGTGGAAGGACTCACGTTAGCCTTCAACAGGAGGAGGCGTGTGGGGTGGTCAGCGGGACGAGGGAGGAAACAGGACAGTGAACGAACTGTAAAGCACTGACTGCTGCTCGAGTAACAAATCAAATGAACACTGTCGTTAAAAGTGTCTGTATTATGGGATGGATACACTCTTAACAAAACAAAGAAAATATCACAGAACAAATTTTCCCCTCACGCTGTCGGCCTCGAGGAAGCAGCTCGATCTAAAACATCACAATCAGCTGTAAAGTGTCGTTTCAGTATTATACAACGTCAAAGAGCTTCATGTCTGAACAGTCAGGTTATAACAGGAATAAGAACTGCACGTCTGGTTGATGCAAACAGCTGTGTGTTAATGCAGCAGCAGGACATGCTGGAGGATGGAGCTCAGCTGAAACGACCCGTGAAGTCCTCACAGACTCTGATGTTTACCATCAGGACCAATCCCTGCAACTGAAATATAATCGACTAAAGCGTGTAGTATAGTGTTGTGTAGCGTGTGGTGAGTGCAGGATGGGGAACTCCATCCTAACCACAAATTTCATTTCCTTCAAAAGGCATCAAGAGAAGCTTCGAAGGTAAAATGAAGGTTTTAGTGTGAAACTTATCTCCGCACCGTGGGAAGCTGCAGCTTCATGAATACACAGAAGGATTTGGTTTCACATATTTCCAGACAAATCCATAAATACTTCTTAATCAGTGCCAGTAATATACTGCTTCCTGCTTTTAAGCTTGGGCGAGCCGTAGATGCTGAAATCTTGCACCGTTCTTACAAATAAAGCAAACAAATGTGTTTCTGTGATCTTACTCCACGGCCACGTTCATACATGTGAAAGTCTCTGTCCCGTGTCCTGTCTCTTTATCCAGGTGTGAATTGTTCACAGGACTTAAAAGAAGGACGTGTCTGTGGAAAAGGCGCCGGCCAACCTAAACTCCTCCCTCATCAGGACACAGAAGAGCCGCTGAGGCAGCGCCTTGGAGTACGCTGCTGGTCGCGGCACGCAGGTGCGCAACAAGATCTCCCGACCTGCTGGAGGAGGGAAGTCTGGCACTCTGCTGCTGCCCCCAGTTTGCTTCCTGTCAGATCCCAAGTCCTCGTCGACGGGCGCCAGGAGGGCAGCCTAAAAGGGCAAAGGTCAAATGTTAGCAAACAGCAACCGATTCTGAAGAAATGTGCTGTGTGAGGTCGACACGTGGATATTCAGAAGTACTGAAACCGAGTCTGCCACAGAGACCTGATCCAGACTACAGCTCACAAACACTCCTCTACTCACACCTCACTGCAGCTGCACGCTGCTGATGCTGTGATCAGAAAGTAAAACAGAGGCTCGTTTTCTATGAGCGGAAACAGAGATCTCTTTTTCAGTCTCAGTGTAACAAACATGGTTACTGTCTTTCAGTAAACATGTTTTTGTTAATCCAGTAAAATCTGCTGATTTGGACTGTTGGCAGCAACAAACAGAGAGTGTGGGACAGACAGGAAGTCAGGACACGTCTATGTGGGACTAGAATATGAACATTTCTACACAGCACAGGCAGCAAGTGAAACATGTGCAAACCTCCACGTCACCAAAAACACCCTGCAGGTCCCATCAGAACAGAGCAGAGGAAACAGATGAACAGATGTTAGAGAGAAAAACGCTTCGCTGCTTTCTTACTCGTCTGACACCAGAAGGGTTTGTTTTTAATAAAGGCTCCGTGTTTTACAGGTAAAGGTAAAGCTCATGCAAACATGCAGGCTTGTTTGTCTGATCAGTGCACAAGTTCAAACACGTCTCTTTTAAGCCTCATTATCAGCTGAGATCATAGTAAAGACACAGACAGGATCCATCTGTTCTTTATATAATTACTGTTTTTACTGTAATGTAGAATATCACGGACATAATACACAGACTGCAGCCTAAATACTGATAAAGCCCTTTTTATTTTTAAGGTTTTATATATTAGCACACAATAAAGAGTCACCTGATCCTGAGGTGTGTGCACAGAAACACACCAGGTCATTATTTAAGCAAAGCGAAGCCAAACTGCTCCTGTGTGACAGTGAAGTCCACCTTTAAACAGCATTTAGATGCTAATGAAACTCGATTAGTGGCAGCACTGGTCTGTGGGCTGGGGACACTGGTGACACCAGTACAGCGCCACCATGTGGATCAAACTGTATTCTGGGTCAAACCTGATGTTTTATCATTTACACTGAACAAAAATATAAACGCAACACTTTTGTTTTTGCTCCTGTTTCCATGAGCTGAACTCAAAGATATGAAACATTTTCTACAAACACAAAAGACCCGAAACTCGCAACCAATGTTCCCTCTAAGCTGCGCGCGTGCACAATTGCGCTGTTGGCACGGTCTCTGCGCACAAAAAAAAAAATCTAACCTGAATTGAAATTAAAATGAAAACTTTAACAATTCTGTTCTGCAGTGTTAGTCAGTGACTGGCTGCTCCTGTATGAGATCAGAACGATGCCGCGTTATCCCAAAGTCCAGCCAATGATGCGATTCACATTCGTATATACGCAGCTAATCAACGTGGTTGACTGACAGCGTCCTTATGTGCGACACCAGTGTTTTAGCAAAGCGGCTGATGTGGAGTGAAGTTAATGACAACGTGTCCAACCATTGGAGATGTGAGCAGGACAGACGAACAAAGACGTCTCTGACGGACAAAGTGTGGACTTTATACCAGTTTTTAAATTGTGTTGATCGGACACGTAAAACCAGAGTTATGATAAAATATCTGCAATGTTTGTTTTTCTTCCTGAATGCTGTCGTTGTTTATATTTACTGCAGGAAGAAACTGTAAAAACAGCGTTTTATAAGGAAAACGCTCGAAAGCCTGAGAGCAAAGACAGCCTCCCTCCCCCAGCCTTTCCTATTGGTGGAAAAATGTACCATGTCGACCAATCAAAACATGGCATTTAGTTGTTTAGGAAGGGGGAAGTTTTAGGAGTGACGGCGTGTTTGAGATGTGAGAGATTTGCGAAGTTTAGCGCAAATCTTGTGTAGTTAGTGTGTAGTTAGT